GCCCAGATATCTTGTTCCTGAGCATACCGTTGGGCCAGTGTTGGTTGAGGTGTGTACTTGTCCCGGGGCACTGGGTCGTAGACCCGTGTGACAGCACGGCATTCTCAGCGAAGTCATTGACAGACAGCGTCTTCGTGTCGACGCTTCCGTCGGTCACAGTGATCGCAGACGACTCGAGCTCACCGAGGTTCTCTTCTTTGTAAATCCCCGACATCTTCCCCTCACGCTACAGCTCGCCGAGCACCTTGTTGCTGATTGGCAAGCCTCCGCCAACCCCGATTTGATGGTGGCCTTGGTCTTAATCCTGTAGTTGATATGAGTATTATTATGGGGTGACACATCCTGAACCTTAAACCGGACCACGCGGACAGACTCGAGTTTCTTAACAAGGTCGGAGACACTGCCCTTGTACGAGTTGGATGTAAGTGCATGCAATGAAGCCAATAGCAACCATGGACGGATCGGGGAGGAGTCGAACCTACATTGACTCTATATACGCACACTAAGTACATGGGCTTTGGGAACGGGGGAGGGGGTGTGTGGTGGCGAAAGGTAGGGGCTTATCGCAATCGCAGGACGACCTCATGAAGTTATGGAACACCTGCTTGAAGTGCATCGCATTGCGAGAGATTGAATTTTCGAGTTGTTGTCGACGTCAGCGATCGTAAGGCATTCAGGGAACACCCGCTTGAAGTGCATCGCGTTGTGAACGAAGGTGTCGGTAGATAGAGTCTTCGAGTTATTGCTAGCGTCAGTGATCGTAAAACAACTTCATGGAACACTTACTTGATGTGCACCGGCAAATGGAGAGCTTTGGTTTCGTATTGGGGGAACCTCTTCCATAGTATTATTGCTTGTACTGCTTGACGGCCGACCTTTGGGCGTTACCTCTGGCTGCTGTGGTGAAGACTGCGGTGGCTACATGCGCTGGCAGATGTGCCGTGGCTTTTTCCGACTCAGATTTTTTGAGCTGACCATCTACTGTCTCCAATAGCGCTGATACCATAGCGGATTTCAAGTCGAATAAGAAAAGGATTCTTTCATTGCTTCTGATGGAGAAAAAAGCAGGGATGAGCTGGATATAGGTCGAATGGGTATATTGAAGGTGGTGTTGTTGTTGGGTTGATGATGATCGTGGATCAACGAAGGCCACTCACTGCCTTGTGGAAAGAAACCAGTAATTCCTCAGTTGCCTTCCACAACCTTGCCAACCAGACCCTCTGCGCACCACCCGCCCTGCGCTTCAGTCAAAATGGGACTTGGAAGCCCAGGTCTTGCAGCAACAGCAGTACCTTAAGCGGTGGGCGGTCTTCGAAGGCAACGTTAACCAGGAAATTCGGGACCTTTGGCAATGGCTCCCCGCTCCCGACACCGTGGTTATTCCCGTCGAGAAATGACAAGCATTCCTGAGCCTCGCAAGCCTTGTTGGGAATACTGTACAACAAGCCATTGGCGCAGGTTCCCCCGCATGGCCGTCAACATGCCCTTTGGTTACATGTACATGTAGACATGAATGAAATTGATGTCTAGACTATTAGGGAGAGCCATCGAACCCACACCAAAACCTGATGACGACCAGTTCGACTTGGATGATGATGTCTTTGATACTGCTGAGGACCTTACCGCTCAAATAAAAGCAAGACATATACCAAACAGTCAGTTTCACGGGCAGAAGCATCAGCAGCCACAGCCACAGTTACAGTATTCTCAGCAATAGCAATAGCAGGTCGGCAAGCCAGTTGTTGCTTTCAACGACGGGGCAGAGGATGACTTTGGAGATGACGATTTTGGCGATGATATCGATTGCGATGCTGTTGAGCTCGACCGGTGCCAAATTCTGAGAACTCTAGTGCCATACTTGTGGAAGTGGAGGGTTCCGACTTCTCAGGATCTGCTTAAAACCACGGGCCTCACTCTCCTTCATCTTCGTAGTCGGGGATATTCATCAATATAATTACGAAGGTAATATCATCGGATGACTTGAGAACTTCTCTATCTTCTAAAACCAACATGTCTAACACAACAACTTGTGGTGGCGGCTCGATTCTGGATCCCAAATGCCCGAATGATCCAGATTTTGGGGACACTTCTGCTCGCGCCTCAACGTCGCAAGTGTTCTCATAGGTACCTTAGTCGATGCCAGAAAAAAAGCGAGGATTCATCCAACCATGAAAGCTGCTGTTGATTTTTGGATAGGGAGAACACTTGAGTGGTTATATCAATTGTCATTCTGGTTAAATGCCGTGGTGGAATTCTTGAGAGATACGCATACCACCTGCACATTAAGCACAATACGAATTAGGATCAGCATTCATCAGCGTCATTATTCTTCCCGCCAAAGAAGGTCCGTTTCGCTCAATGCACAGTGTAATCGAGTCAAGTTAGAGCCCTGCCTGGACGCTCAGGCCACTTTTCGTCCTGCCCATCAGCCTTGCTGCTTTTCCCTTTC